CAATGCGGTATATTATTATTTTGTCAGGCGGGAGCGACAAGGTGGGATATTATTATCGTCAAGGCAGGGAGATACATGTGGCATTGTTATTGTGACAAAATTATGGGCACGAGGTGCCATATGTTTATGTTTCTATTTGATGACTTGTTGTCAAGATGAACTTTTACTTATTTGAGTTGTTATCACATATCCAAAAAAGGTTGTTGATGTTGTCTCTGCTATATATTCTGTTGTCAGTTTTCTTTTGATAAATTCTATATATTATTTGACTAGTGAGTATCACATGACTTGAACCTCGTAATACTTCACTGAGGTTAGTCTTAATACTTAGTGGGTACCGATTGTGGTATACTCATACTACGCTTCTCCACATTTTTTATGCAGATCCAGTTATTTCTGATCGGACAGATCGTTATGCTTATTGGAGACTTCAAGGTATCCCTGATGTTCCGTTCGCAGGCGTCAGAGTCACCCTCTTTACTTTATTTATACTGTTTATGTTTTTCAAACAGTATTGTACTCTTCGAGACTTGATGTGTATTCCATTTAGAGCTTATGACTAAGTACTACCGGATTTTGGAAAGTTGAATATTGTATCCACGTTTGATAGTATTATCGTATTTTTGCAGTTTTCATTAATTTGAAGTTGTTATATTTTGATTGACATCATTATGTCACGACCCAATCTCACCTATAAGTCGTGATGGCGCCTAACACTACAGCTAGGCAAACCAACTTAATAAATTAAGCATATATTGACAAAATTTAAAACCCAAAAAATAATAAAATACCAAATTCTACCAATGTGTGTGCTAAGACCTGGTGTCACAAGTTTATGAGCATCTAATAGATTATACAAAATCTCAAATACTGTCTGAAATAAAAATAGACAGAATAAAAAATACAAGGAGAGACCTAGTAGCTGCAGAACGGCTCAGAAAGTGTAGCTCACCACTATGTCCCTGGATAACGTGGGTGTAATACGATAGGTCCCCCACTAGTACTTGCCTCAGGTCCTGCATAAAAGTGCAGGAAGTGTAGTATGAGTACGTAAACAACGTGTACCTAGTAAGTATCAAGCCTAATCTCGAAGTGGTAGAGACGAGATGACTGACTTTGACACTCACTATGGGTCAATAATAATAATTGAAATACAACTAGGATATTTAAATCAGCATGATTTACAGAATTTACAATAATTTATTTAATCAACGAAAATAATCAAATTCCTTCAAATGCAACAATTCTCAATATATTAATTAAATTCCTTAAATTCAAATAATTTCCAATTTATCAATTAATCTCATTTACAGGAATAACAATTAATTCCTTAACAAGCAGGAATAATAATTCATTAAATTCAAGGATTCTCCAATTTATCAATTAGCTTCGCAAGCAGAAATAACTATTAAAGTATCGTGTAATTATTATTATTAAGCACGATTTTTGCCGAGGACGTACGGCCCGATCCAGAGTGTCGTGTACACTGCCGAGGGCCGTGCTGCACGATCCATAGATGCATATATCCTGCCGAGGTATTCGGCCCGCTCCACAAGAAAGGAAGACATTTTTTTATGTACCTCCGGAAGGAGAGTATATTTATTTTAAGATAAATTCGGGAGGAAGAACAATTTCTTTTAACAATTAATTAATTTAAATAAAAAATCAAGCATATAAAATTTCCATCCTTTAATATCTTTATCTGACAATTCACAATATATTCTTATATATATAAATTAATATTTATTAAACAAAGAATACAATGTACAAATATAATTCATGCTTTGAGTCCTAAACTACCCGAACTTTAGCATTAATAGTAGCTACGCACGAACTCTCGTCACCTCGTGCGTACGTAGCCCCCGCAATTAGCAACAATTATTTAATTTAATCCATATAGGATAATTTTCCCCTCACAAAGATTAGACAAGAGACTTACCTCGTCTTAAAATCCACTTTTCGATTATCGCGTCGCGTAAAATTCTCGATTCGATGCCGAAAAATCCGAAACTGTCCAAAAGATATATAAAATAATTAATATATGTTCAATAATTCAAAATTCATCTATTAAATAAATTAGCCTATCCAATATGAAAAAATTTCTAAAATTCACCCCGGGCCCACGTACCCGGATTCCGGAATTTTTTGGATGGAAACGTCACCTATAATCTCAAGAACTCAAATATATAATTTCTATCCAATTCCATAACTATTTTCGTGGTTAAAATGTTATTTTTATAAAAATCTAGGTTTTTCACCTAAACCCATGATTTTTAAGATTTACTAGTTATAATCTACCTATAATCTATGTATTTAACTCAAGGGGTGTAGAATTAACTTACCTTCCAATTGCTAGTTAAAATCCCCCTCTCAAAAGCTCTGAAATCTCCCGGAAATGGAGAAAAAATGGGCTCAAAATGTCTGAGCCCCGATTTTTAACCATTCTGCCCAACAATGATTTTCGCACCTGCGGATAGTGTACCGCACCTGCGTTCTCACTAGCCTTGGCCAAACTCGCATCTGCGCACACTGCTTCGCACATGCGCGATCGCAGGTGCGCCAAAATTCCGCATCTGTGGTGATGGCCTCCCCTTCCCTTTTCTGCTTTTGCGAAGAAATCTCGCATGTGCGAGTGCCGCGCCTGCGAGCTTCTGTCGCATCTGCGAATGTCGCACCTGCGACTGGCCAAGCGCATATGCGATTCTGATAGTAGTTGGGAGCTTCAATTTTGGCTCCCAATTTCCAACTTGGTCCGAGCCTCGTCCGGTTGACACTCGGAGCCCCCCGGACCCCGCTCGAACATATCAACAAGTTTAAAATCATAAAACGGACTCGCTCGAACTCATGAAACGTGTAAAACAACATCAAATCTATGAATCACACCTCAAACCAAATTGATTCAAACTTAAGAATTTCAAGTTCTTCAATTTATTTCCAATGCGCTGAAAGTATACTTAAACTATTCGGAATGACACGAAATTTTGCGTACAAGTCTTAAATCACTATACGAAACTATTCTCAAACTCGAAATTACAAACGGACTTCAATTACTCAAAATCCTACTCCAAACCAAATTTAAAGAATTTTAAACCTTCAAATAGTTGATTTTTACTATTAAGCGTCAAAACGCTCCCGGGTTATCCAAAACCCGATTCGGACATACACCTAAGTCCAAAATCATCATACGAACCTATTGGAACCGTCAAATCCCGATTCCGGGGTCGTTTTCTCAAAATGTTGACCGAAGTCAAACTTGTCCATTTAAAGCTAATTTAAGGAACCAAGTGTTCCGATTTCAACCCACACACTTCCAAATCCCGAATCAACCATCCCCGCGAGTCATAAATTAATAAAAGCATGTTCGGGGAGTTTTATTTTAGGGAACAGATTTCTAAAAGTTAAAATAACCAGTTGGGTCATTACACATTATATGATAAATTTACCTAATTTTAGAGATTAAGTATCATCACAACCCCACATGATGAAACTTAATTGGGCATATGAATTGAACCTCTTCAGTAAAAGCATAACTATATAGTCCAGCGCACAATTCATACTCAGATTTCGACTAAAATTGTGCCTTATGTTTAAGAGTAGGTCTCATTTGATCCTTTCACATCCTTTAACTTTACTAAGCGGTTTTAGTTATAGGCGGATCCAAAATTTAAAATTTATGGGTTCCTATTGTAATCTCAAATTAATATACAATATTAACTGGATTCACAATTATATATTTATAGATATTTAATAAATTTTTTAATAAAAATACAAAATCTTCGCAAAGGTTACTGAGTTCCTGAGATCCAGTAACTATACCTTACACCCGCCACTAGTTTTAGTCTATTTGACAGAAACTCCAAATGAGACCTATAAACTAACAGTGGTTTAATGTTAAATCCATGTCACATGGGCTAAAGATCCGACTGCAATGATTTTTGTGGCTAAAAGTTTCTAGTGTCAATTTGTCCAATATGTGAAGTGCTTCCGGCGTCAATGTGAATGGTTTTTGGTCTATGCTGTCTGCCTGAAGTGTTACGGTGTCATTTTGAATGAAACATGCGTGTGCTGTTAGTTTAGTGCTCTGTGTTCTATTTTTTTCTGTTAGGTGTACTAAGGCCTCATATTGTTTTTTTAAAGATTAATACGTATGAATCTGAATACACATTTTAATATCAAAATTTGTATTAAGATTAAGATATTTAAATATGTAATTTTTAATATTTGAATATATTAAATTTATCTTTATTTGAAAATTAATAAACATAAATTCATACGAAATACTAATTAATCTAATATTCTATCAATAAAATATATAGTTTTTAAAAATATAATAGTTGCTGGTGGTGATGGCTAACGGTAGTGTTTGTGAATGTCGACTAGAGGCGGTGGTTGGTGGTAGTCTTGGTTTATGGTGGTGGTACAAGGTAATAGCTAGTGGTGACGATTATGATCGAGGATGGTAGTGGTGGGTGGTGATAGTTAATAATAACAGGTGATGGTAGTTGTGATTGAGGAAGGTGATAGTGGTGGTGATAGTTTATAATGATGGATAGTGTCGGTTATGATTGTTGATGGTGATGGAATGGTTAGTTGTGGTAGTTGAGGTGGATGAGTGTTGGTTGTGGTTGAGAATGACGGTGGTGAGAGTGGTAGGGATGATGGGTGGTGGTAGTCTATAATGGTGGCGTCTATGATTGAGGATGGTGATGGTGACATGGTGATGGTGACGGTGGCGGTGAAGGTGATGATATGGTGGGTGGTACGGTGATAGTTGATAATGGTAGATGGTGACGACAGTTAATAATGAATATGAGTAATAATATCTTAATGGAATTAAGTTTTTGTTATAAATCTTAATCACATAGATATATTCAGATCCAATAAATGATTGTGAAGTAAAAAAAATAAATATATTTAATAATTTAAATATTAATAATTAAGAGGCAAATTTAAAAACAGGTTCAAAGTTTAGGAAAGTTAAAACGCAAGAGAGATTTTAACTAAAAACTCTTCGCATTTCCTTCACAAAAATTGTGCGTATCATCCCAAATTTGAATGGCAATACTCAAGGCTGCTTCGCCGGTTGCCGGTGATCTCACCGCTTCCGCCGGCGGCGAAGTGATCGCCGACAAGGAAGACGTTCTAAGTGAAATTCTCCTCCGATTACCCACAAAAAATCTTCTCCAATGCTGCTGCGTTTCCAAACACTGGCACTCTCTCATCTCCGCTCCTCATTTCCGCCGCCGTCACTGCCGCCGCCACGCCTCCACTTCCGCCGCCACTGGTCTCTTGTTGTTCCGTACATTCTCCTTCAAACATCTTATGGACCACCTCGTATACTTACCCAATAATTCCAACGACAAAAAATGTTATTCTAGAACCATCCCTTCTTCCATTCGTAGGTTTCATTACCCTTTAGCCTTTTCAGGTTTTCATCACCTTCATTCTTGTAATGGGTTGTTGTGTTTTGGACTTTTGTTGGCTCCTTGTGAATGTAACCTTTATGTTTATAACCCATGTACATGCTCTTATGCTTCTCTTTCACTGCCTAAAAAATTTAGCCTCTCTACTATTAAAGCTATAAATTTAGCATTTGATCCGTCAAGATCCGATTTTTACAGAATTATTTGCATATATGCTTATAATTCGGAAAATGACAATGACCCTTCTGAGGATTACGTGTATCATATCTTGATTTATGCTTCAGAAAGTGGTACATGGAAGGATACAGGAAAGGGGTTTAATGATAAATATGATTACTTGTTGAAAAGGGGCGTGTTTTTGCAAGGTTGTCTTCATTGGGTGGGCGAAAACAAGCCTTTTCTAGCATTTGATGTCGAGAATGAGAGGTTTAGGACAATGCCTAGTACTAGTGTTCCTGAAAATGGGAGAAAGATTTGTTATTTTGGCGATTGGGGCGGGCGCCTCCATGTTATTCAGGAATGTGATGGGGGAGCAGCTTCACTGGTGGATGTAATGGAGTTGCAGATAGATTATTCCGGTTGGTCGTTGAAGTATCGCATTGATATTGGTTATCTTGGTAGGGCAATTGGAGGTAATGCTGATGGTATTAAGGTTGATGTACTTTGTTTGGTCGAGGCAAATAGAGAAGGGAAGACTATGCTTATAGTATCAGCTCAAGGCAGAATTTATTACTACGATATCGTTGGCAGGACCTTTGAGGAGGTATGTAATGTCTCAAACTTTGCTTCTGTCAAGCAGGATCCCTTAGAGTACAAGTATAAATGGGGTCAAGCCTTTCAACACTTTGAGACCCTTGCTTGTGTCTAAGATTGCATGCATTGTTTCAATCTCACTACTTGGCACTACTTAAATGTAATGTACTAGAAGCAAGGAATCACGATGTTCTATAGCCAATCTTAATATCTAGTTTGTACGTCGGGAAGCTTATTCTGCTCTGACGTTGTCATAGTAGTATCTCAAAGTTCCTATCTAGTGTATGTAATTGGTGAAATTCTGATGGTTTGTCTCTTATCCTTTGCTTACATTCTTGTCTAATTGGCAAGTAGAGGTGGTGATCATATGTGTAATCTACTACTGAAGACAGAATGAAGGAGAAATACCTGTTATGACACCTGTTTATGATGATCTTATGTTAGCTTCAAGTATTAAGATTACAATGGGATTAGTAATTTCGGAAGAAGATCAAATTTGAAACTCTTAACAATTTGGAATTGGAAAGAAGCAGTATGAATGAGAGGGACATGCCTTATTCTGGACAATTAAGAGTGTATTAAAATGGCTAATGTTGCAACGTCATTGGGTAGATTTATCATTCAGCTCAAATTGTCCTAACAGCATTCTCATAAGATTTATTGCTTAGGAGATGATGAGTAGATCTTCACGTATAATCTTTTTTTGTTTTTGTTTATTTTGAGAAGGCTTCTTCTGGTTCATTTCTGGTATTTACTTCGCTGCTCATCCTCTGGTAATTTTTCTTTTAAATCCAATAGGTATCAAGTGTCGCTACTTTAATCTATTGATAATGACTGATCTTTTACCCAATGGAAAAGAAAGGAACGCGACAAAGCGTTCCCCTCTCTCCATATCTCTTTGACCCCATGGAAACTAATTTGATGCCTTTAGAAGAAGCACAATGAGTTGTATGTAAATGCATAACAAAGAATGTAAAACCCGAAGAGGAGAATGAAATGCTTCTGAGATCTTTGGCAGAAATCAGAATTTATTGATGACGATTGCTTATAGTTAAGCGAAAAGATCTAAAGTCTGAGGCAAGATTCAAGAAACAACATGGTTCAGCATTTCAGGAGAGCACCAGCAGAATTGAATCCTTTTCCTATGGAAGACAGGATAAGAGGAAACATGCTTGGTTTCTTTCCTTGTATGGATAGTGTAAATGGCACATACAGCTAAATCAAAACAGTAAATTTAGCTGCAAAATTACTTTCAGAATGCTAACTCTTTCATTACCAAAAAGAAGTAACAGTGGAATTAGGGAAAGGAAACCAAAAAAAAAACAGAACGTATAACATGTCAGCATTTGCACAATTACTGAATTATTTTCTAAGAAAGATTGAGCATAACTATTTTCTAAGAAAGACCCAGCAGTGAGCTTTCTTCCTCTTAACTTCTCTAGAATCCAATTGGAAAATGGTTGGTAACTTATAAGCCCAGAATAAAGGCAAACAGTAGTCATTCCAAAGAAGAAGGAAAAGAGAAGAAAACAAGTAGTAAGAAAATACCAATGGAAAGCTAAAGAGACAGGAATAGCTTGAGAAGCTGAGATATCGCGTCTTAGGCTGGACCTTAATATGGTTTTATCTTTTACTTCCACAAGAAATCATGGATGTATACTTTTTAACTTCTGTTAAAAGTTCTACCACGACTTGATGCATCTGTATATATATTAAAAGAAGACTTAGTTTCTGAGTTTGATATAACGTTTACAAAATAGTAACATCGGCAGGGCACCTGGGAGAAGTCAAATGAATGTACATCCAAGTTTGTTGCACTGATAACTTCATGTACTTTTGATACTTTAGGTATCAATCTTGATATATCTTAACCTCAAAAAGCCTAACATGTCTACCAAAGATTCTGTATCCTCTACAAGATTTTCTTTACACCAAAAATAAAATAGAAGAATACAGTACATCTTGACATCCCGAACGGACTTGTATCGGTCTTCAAAAACTCTTGAGTTTCTCTCCTTCCTTACTGTCCACCATATGCATGTAGGTATCAATCTCCACCATGTCTTTTGACTCACTAAGTCTCCAATGTTGTTCCATGATTCCCCGAGTTTAATAGTTGATTCTTGAGATTTAGTATTACTAGTAAAGTAAATTATTGTTTCTTACTTTTACTTTCTCTTAAACTGGGAAGTTCTTTGATTCTTGAGATTTAGTATTACTAGTAAAGTAAATTATTGTTTCTTACTTTTACTTTCTCTTAAACTGGGAAGTTCTTTGATTCTTGAGATTTAGTATTACTAGTAAAGTAAATTATTGTTTCTTACTTTTACTTTCTCTTAAACTGGGAAGTTCTCAGGAAACAATCCAGCTTGCAACCTAAGTTGCTCCGACACTGCAGTTTGGGTGCCGCACTTGTGTCGATGCGACACTAGTATGGGTGCAGGTATGAGATCTGTAAGTATGTACGTTCCGAGCTTTAATGAGATCACTTCGTGATTTTGTATTCTAAAAAAAAGGGAAATGGATCAAACAGTTTTGGGTACTTTGACCACGACGGACGGAAAAAATTCTAGACGAGATACAATTTGATTCCCGAAATCAGAACCAAAACTAGTGTAAATTTGAAGAAAATAAAATACCTTATCTAAGTAATCAGTCCTTTACTTATCTACAACTTGAGAATAAAAAAGAAATTCACACTTTACAAGCTATACTTAAGTATTCCACAAAATTTCTCATAATTTAGACATATTTTTAAATTTATATTGAATTATTTTACCCGGATCCCAACACCTGTATTTTTATCTTATAATTTACATCTCGAAGGACCTGACCTCTAGATCGTACCCGTGTCAGACACCCGCACCCGTGTCCAAGCAACTTAGCTGCAACTGCCTCTTTTAGCTTTGTTTCTTTAGGGCAGATCCTTACTATGAGATTAAGTTACTTTAGTTCCAATAAATGAAGCTAATAATCAATGCGGTTGAAAACATGTATTTTTGAAAGAGTGGAATCTTCCGGGTATGAATAAGAGGAGGTGCTCATTTGGCTCTTCTCATGGGTTTGACGGTGGTAATGAGAGGAGAATCGATGTTAATAACCCTTAATTCTAATATGGTAACTCCTTTAATGCAGGTGTGAAAAGAGACGAAAATATCAGACTTAACTGTTGAAATTTGGTTTGCATTGTTATAATTTTCAATCTATGTTTTTCCCTATCACGTGTTGTTGACTCTTGCATGCCATTTTGGTTCATCTCTCTGCAATGTTAGGTCACCATTTGGTATAGTTGGATTCAAAATACCATTTTTATGTCAATGGGAATATCATATTTCCTTTTCGTTTGTATTTTAGTCCGGAAGAGGAGAAATGGAGTTTTTGGCTCCCCTTATGATATGTTTAAGTCAATCTATTGTTATTTGAGATAGAACGTTCTTATTATCTTTGCTACAACAACTGAAAGAACCATTTTAATTTTTATCTTATATATGCAGGGGCGAAGCTACACTCTTGTATACATTGTATATATATGTAAAAAAATATTAGGTGTTAGAGATATATAATATATATTGAATACCCTTTATCGAGGAATTTATTTTGCTTCTTTCAAATTTGAACACTCTTTGAGAAATTCCTGACATTGACACTGTATGTATGGTGAAAGCTAGAGTGAAATATTTTAGAGCTATTTCTTTCCGTTTCCAAGTTGACATGTTTATCGCCTTTTGGTTTGACTTACATTTCTTTCTATGTTTCAGATTTTAATACCAAAATTTGTACTTGTAGAAATAAAATATTTTATCGCCCATGGTTGCATGTATTGTCCAAGTCACTTCTCGTACAATCTTGGGCGATGGTCCTAATTTCAGTGCTCAATTGAGTTTAGGAAATTCAATATCATTAATATAAGCAACAAGGCAAACTTCAACCGAGTTTAATGAATTTCACATCTTTGAGATGATGGTGAGGGTGAACCTCAATTGAATTTAGGCATCTCACATCTTGAAGTGATGGAGAGACGAATGTCAACGAGGGTGCTGAGTCTTTATGTAGAAGTTAGTTGTGATACAACTGTCAATTAGCAATGTACAACTGTCACTTAGGTATTAAGTTAAGTAGAGAAGAGTTAGTTGAATTAGTTAATATATCATTGTCTGTCGGTTAGTATATAAAAGAGTAAAGAGTCTGTAAATACACAGAGATTTATTTTCATTTGTCTCTGTACATCAGAGCTTATCAATGGAGCTGTTTCTCTCTCAATCTTCTCTGAAACTCTCTCTATCTCATTCACCATGGCTGAGCTAATCAACATGGTATCAGAGCTTTGGTAAATCGGTCAACTCAGCTACTACAGAGGAGTATTAGAGAAGTGTATTTGTTCTTAGATCGAGCTATTTCTTCATCTGGAAAAGTTCCTCTGCAACCTAGGGATTGTGGAACTTGTTAATTTCAGTTGAATCTCGACAAATTACTGTAAAATTCATCTCTAATTGCTTGTTGTGGTTCCAAATCAGTAACCTAACTAAGTTTTCTGAAGAAACATAATGGCAATTGAGGAATATGATTCCGTCTCTGCTACTCAGGGTGCTACATCTCCAACCCCAAATCTTCATGACTTGGATCTAGTTCATCACAATCATTCTTCATACATTCATCCATTAGACACGCAGGGTTAGGTACTAATCTCTATTCAACTTCAAGGATCGGAATATTATTCAATTTGGAGTAGATCTATAAAAATTGTATTGCATGGCAAAAATAAGCTAGGCTTTGTTCTCAGTACCTTTAGGAGGGAAATGTATGATCATAGTCTACACGAACTGTGGGATAGATGTAATGGAATTATTCTAGCTTGGATTATGAATACTGTTTCACCAAATCTCATTAGTACTGTGATTTACGCATCTAATGCACACAAGATGTGGGAAGATCTTAAGGAAAGGTTTGATAAAGTCAACGCCTCTAGAGACTGCTATATTCACAAGGAAATGGCTACTTTGACTCAAGGTGTGTCATCTATGTCCGTGTACTTTTCCAGACTTAGAGAATTGTGGAATGAGTACGAGGCCCTAGCACCTCCACCCTCTTGTGGTTGTCTCGAGTCTAGAAGATATGTTGAACATTATTAGACACAAAATTTGTACCAATTTTTGACAGGTTTAAATGAATCATTTGAACATGCTAAGGATCAAGTTCTTATGACTCGTCCATTACCTAACATCAATCAGGCATATGCCATGATTATTAATATTGAGAGTTAGAGAAAAAATGGTGTTGGAATCACTGTTGGTATTGGTGCTAAAGTTACTGACCCTACAGCCTTGCTGAGCAACAAAACTTCAGCAGGAGGTTACAGACAAAAGAATAATTCTGGCAAGGCCTTGGTTCAATGTGACTACTGTAACTACAAGGGACACACCAGGAAAAATTGCTTCAAATTGCATGGTTATCCAGTAGGTTTTAAACCTAAGAAGAAAGGAGGACCTCCAAATACTTATAACAACACATATGCCAACAATGTAACTAGTACAGGTGGTCAATATTCAGGGGGTCAACATTGCTCTCAACCTGGAGTTCCTTCACAAGCTCAGTTCTTCACTCCTGAGCAATACTCTCAGATTCTGCAGCTTCTCAACAAAGGAAATGAAGTTGCACCTATGGCTAATATAGCCAAATCTGACACTGCAGATACCTATTCTGCCATGTTGTCTACTCTAGTTGATACTAATTGGATAATAGACACAAGTGCCACTGATCATATGGTACACAATATGGCTTTGCTTAATAAGTGTTCTGATTTACCTAAAGAGACCAGAAGTAAGGTACTCTTACATACTGGTGGTCAAGTCTCTATTACTAAATCAGGAGAGTCCTCAATCTTCCAAGATAGAACAATTCACAATGTCTTAAATGTTCCAAAGTTTAAGTACAATATGTTGTATGTTTCCAAAATCACTAAGGAGCTAAGTTGTTTGGCTGCATTCTTCCCCGACTTCTATTTATTTCAGGAGCTCTTCAGTGGGAAGGTGATAGGGATTGGTTGAGAAGGTCATGGTCTCTACATTCTGCAAGCAAATGGTCTAGCTTCTTCCTCACACCATCCAGTTAATAAAGGGGATAAGTGTCTGCATCATTCACTTGTAAATATCATTACTAGTTCAAGTAATAAACCTAATGGTGATATAATGAATAAGACTTGTGACAATACTTCTTTGTGGCATAGAAGATTAGGCCATGCTCCTTTGAGAGTCTTGAAAAATATTGATGGTTTAAACGCTATACAATTGAAAGATCATCTATGTACTATGTGTCCACTTGCCAAGCAGTCAAGATTACCTTTTACTCTCAGTAATACTTGTTCTGTTCATCCTTTTGATCTTGTGCATGCTGATGTTTAGGGTCCCTACAGAGTATCTACGCTTTATGGTAAGAGGTATTTCCTGATCCTAGTAGATGATTTCTCTAGATATACCTGGATTTTCTTGTTGAGTACTAAGGCAGACTCAATTGTTGTTCTGAAATATTTCTCGGTATTGGTTAGAAATCAGTTTTGTTGTAATGTAAAATGTTTGAGAACTGATAATGGATATGAGTTTGTCAACACTCATATTAATTCTCTATTAAAGGACTTTGGGATAGTTCATCAAAGCTCATGTGTCTACACTCCTCAACAAAATGGTATAGTAGAACGAAGGCATAGGTATATTCTAGACATGGATCGAGCCTTAAGGTTTCAAGCCTTCATCCCTTTGAAGTTTTGGGGTGAATGTGTTTCTACTGCAGTTTACTTGCTGAATAGGCTGCCTACTGCTCTGCTGAAAGGCAAGTCTCCCTTTGAGAAATTGTTTCTTCGACCACCCTCTTTGCATCATTTGAGAGTGTTTGGTAGCCTATGTTATGCTACTAATGTGAGAAGACAGATAAATTCAGTCCTAGAGCATTTCCTGTAGTTCATCTTGGGTATTCATCTTCCCAGAAATGTTATCTTCTCTATGATCTCTCTACTTATCACTTCTTTGTTAACATGGATACTGTGTTTAAGGAATATATCTTTCCTTTTCAACATCTACAGTCTGGTCATTCTCCAATCTTCCCAGTTCTACAACTTTCAGCAGTGGATGCTTCTGTCTCACCTCCTGAAGTTGTCCAACCCATAGTGGAGATTGAAGCTCCTATATGTGAGATGCCTCCTCCTATTCAGTCCACTGATGTACCAAGCACTCCTTCTTCTCCTACCTCTCCCCCGCCTTTCATAAAGTCTTATAGAGTGTCCAAAACTCCTATTTGGATGCAAGACTATGCAATTCACACTAAGCAGTCCACCTATGCCTATCAAATAGCTATGTATGTGAACTATGATCAATTGTCTTCTGCTTACATAGATTTTGTTGCTGCATATTCTGTTGTTTTTGAGCCTAGGACATTTGCTGAAGCAAGAAAGGATCCACAGTGGGTGAATGCTATGAAGGCTGAGATCTCAGCCTTGGAGGACAATAAGAGTTGGTGTATTGTTGATCTACCACCTGATAAGGTTCCCATAGGATGCAAATGGGTGTTTAAAGTGAAGTACAAGTCTACTGGGGAGGTGGGAAGATTCAAAGAAAGACTGGTTGCTAAAGGTTATAGTCAACAAGAGGGTCTTGACTACAAGGAGACCTTCTCTCCTGTAGCCAAAATGATGATTGTCAGAACAATGGTGGCTCTAGCTGCAGCCTTTAGTTGGTACATCTTTCAAATGGATGTCCACAATGCCTTTCTACAGGGAGATCTTGTTGAGGATGTCTACATGCAGATTTCAGATGGCTTTTCAATCCAGGGGGAGTACAAGAAGGTCTCTAAGCTTCATAAGTCTTTGTATGGCCTCAAGCAAGCACCTAGGCAATGTAACTTAAAACTGACAGAGGCTTTGACTAATATGGGGTTTGTGCAATCACACTATGATTATTCTTTATTTACAAAAGGAAGGAAAGAGAGTTGGTCATTGTTCTTGTTTATGTTGATGACCTCTTGGTCACAGGTAGTCACTTAACACTCATTCAGCAAGTTAGAAAGGACCTTCAGAACAAGTTAAATATGAAGGATTTGGGAGAACTGAAGTATTTCTTGGGGATTGAATTCTCCAGGTCAGAAAAGGGAATTCACATGTGGAAGAGAAAATATGCCCTTGAACTTGTCTCAGAAACAAGGCTAGCAGGGGCTAAACCTGTTGGAACTCCTTTGGAGTTCAATCACAAACTCACTTCTATAGAATTTGACAGAGTTGTAAACAATAAGACATATGCTGATGATCAACAACTTGAGAATAAAGGTGGTTATCAGAGGATTGTTGGCAGGCTACTATACTTGACTATGACCAGACCAGACATATCATTTATTGTTCAAGTACTCAGTCAACATATGCATGCACCAAGGCAATCTCATTTGGAAGCAGCCATGAGAGTGGTTAGATACATCAAGAATGCACCTGGACTTGGACTTTTTATGCCATCTGACAACACTTTGAAGCTAGCAACCTATTGTGATTCAGATTGGGGAGTTTGTGTTGAGACACGAAAATCAGTCACTGGCTATACAGTAAAATTTGGTGATGCCTTAATCTCGTGGAAATCTAAGAAACAAGAAATTGTGTCCAGAAGTTCTGCCGAAGCTGAGTTTAGAAGTATGGCTGCTACTGTAGTATAAATTACATGGTTGATAGGTATATTCAAGGAATTGGGAAGAGAGGTACCTGTACCAGTTAGGTTGTTCTGTGATAGTAAAGCTGCCATTCAAATCGCAGCTAATCCTATCTTTCATGAAAGAACAAAACACATAGATATTGATTGTCACTTTGTAAGAGAAAAGATTCAAGAAGGGAAGATTCATATTCAACACATTGGGACTAAAGAGTAACTTGCTGATCTACTTACAAAGAGTCTGTGCAGACCACAACATGACTATCTGATGGACAAGATGTGAATGAAGAACTTGTATTCATCCCTCAACTTGTGGGGAAGTGAGGTTAGTGGTGATACAACTGTCACTTAGCAATGTACAACTGTCACTTAGGTTTTAAGTTAAGTAGAGAAGAGTTAGTTGAATTAATTAAGATGTCATTGTCAGTCGGTTAGTATATAAAAGAGTAAAGAGTCTGTAAATACACAGAGATTTATTTTCATTTGTCTCTGTACATCAGAGCTTATCAATGGAGCTTCTTCTTTCTCAATTTTCTCTGAAACTCTCTCTCTCATTCACCATGGCTGAGCTAATCAACACTTTAAGGGATGGTGTACGTAATATCCCGGCAAACCCCATATTGGCAAAACATACGAGAGATGCTGAATATATGAGGAAGCAAGTTTTAAACTATCGTTACTCGTTTTAAAGTTGTGCGAGTTTAGGCTCAAAGCGAATACTATTTATTACTTGTAGGTTGATTTTTATGCTAGTTACATTTGCTGGACAAATACTAAATTTGACTCTCTTTCTTGTTGTTTTAGTTGGCATATAAACCTTTGTACTGTTGTTTTCAGCCTTAACATCTTGGTGGAGTATAGGATTTTTAAATCACAATAACAGGGAACAATTCCAAATTTTGAGGCCACAAGTAGTTGCCATTGTGAAGCTGATAGCTCATCGGCCGCCTTCCACATAGAAAAACCACACCTTAAGATGGTGAATATTCGATATAAATATGATGTCAAGTTGGTGATGGCTATGACTTCATTTCATTCGTTTGTTAGTTTCTTTAGAAAAAAACAATGTAAGGACATAACCTGCCTCTATTGGCAAAGCATTATATTTTGGTTGTATGGTTTTAAATTTCAACACGAATTTCCAAGTTTTCAAACAACGGGAAAATAGACAGGTTGATCCAAATAAGTGTGTGGAGAAAACAGAAAGTATGAATTATGCTAGAGGCATAAATGCTATTTGAGGCTAAAAGAAGTTTGAATGATACTAGAAAACATCAATGCTTTTTTGAAGCTAAAAAGGTTGAAAGAAAAAAAAATAAAAATAAAGAAGGAAAACTTGATTCCAATTATTTATTACGAGACGATGAAACTGCAAGAAATTTCACTAGGTGTCCTCTTCAAGGACCGGTGTTTAAATTTTGATCCTGTTAAAAATACAAATTAAATATAATTATTTGCTAGAACTTATGCATTTCCTCCTCCTCCTTTTCCTCGTTCTTTTTCATCTTCTTTATATGTGCTATAAAAAATTGAAAATCCATTTGTTAGTAGATGGTTTGGTTGGAAAAGAACTAGGGCTATTCAAAATTGAACCGTAACCATTAACCAAATCGAACCGATGACTTATTGGTTTATTGGTATCAGGTTTATTAGGGTAATGGTTGGTGAACAGATTGAGATTTTATAATTAACGGCTTAACGGTTTGGGGGCGGATTATTCAATTTTCTTATCGGATAAATCGTTAATCCGTTGAGAATTTTTATATATATATATATATATATACACACGACCTCCTCTGAAGACTTCAAAAGGATTTATATATAAACACACTACCTAGATGTACATGATTGATTGCATATTATAAGTTTTCAATCAGTTTGACCAGTTTTGCAATCTTTCCTTTTTTCTGACGTGAAACAGTTAGTTATGCAACAAAAAGAAATACTTATAATAAGTGCATTAGTGCAATACAAACTACAAGTGTTAACAAATTCTATCATATAGCAACAACTGTTAACAAGCCTGGTAAACTAAAGTGCAGTACATACTAACGAGGAAGTCGAGTCACTTTTTCATGTTTGGCCATTTGGTATTCACAAGACTAGGATTGTTTAAAAATTTTCTATTTGGTTTAGCCGATAAACTGTCCGATAACCGCTCGATAATCGTTAATCCGATATCAATCCGCCCGTTATTTTAATGGATGGCGAACGAATTACTACATTTATAATCCGATAATCGATAAGCCGAATCGTTAAGCGTAATTCTCCGCCCGATAAGCACCCCTATAAAGAACTACCGTTATTGAGTTTTGTTGAGCTTGTTTGTTAAAGAAGGATTTGGTTGAATCTAACCATTGAAAATTATT